ATCAAAAGAGGGAAAGACCCCAAGGCAGGCATGGACTGGACATGAGGAGGGACAGGGTCTGGATTCCAGCAAGAGACACGGAAGGTGGCAGGAGCAGCGAGGGGCCCGGCCACGCGGAGCTGTGACAAAGCGCCCCTCTGTCAGCTGCCCATGCTTCATTCCCAGTCTCCACAAAGCTTAAACAGTCACGTCCCTTGGCTCCCTTCGTCTGCCATTATAACACACAGCTTTGACAAGAGGCAGGATGACTGATTGCTCATTTATACAACTCACAGTGGTGTGTGGCCGGGACATAAATATTTATTTCCTCCAGCTGAGGCCACTCTTGATAACGGGGGGAGCTGGGTATCAAAAGTTTGGACCCCCAACACGGGGTGTCACCTGCTACTGGGAGGGACAGGTACCCCGCTGTCCCCCAGTGGCCCCCGGCCAGGCTCTTTAGGGCTGAGTCAGGCCAGGCAGATGCTAAGTCTCCATTCTCACCCACCCTTGAAGACCAAGCAAGCACGCCCCCCACCCCACCCCCTACAAGCCTCTAGGGACTTGCAGCTCCAGATCCTGGTGCATTTCCCGATGCCTGGCTCTACCCGACTCTCCGATCCATTCTGGTATTTCTGCTCATCCCCACTGCTGCCCAGTGACCCCATCAGAGCTGCAGACTGGTCCCTCCCCGTCGGCGCACCTGCGTCCTCCACTCCTTCTGCCTCGCCTACCATGGGGAGGACGTGTCTCTGCAGCCTGCTAACCTGGGCCAGCCAGGCTCGAGCTGCTGGGTCTTGAGGTGCACCCACGCTCCACAGCCCTCAAGATGTTTCCCTCACTTGCCAGTCTCCCTCTCAGCTCCGGTTCTCAAAGTTTGCTGAACATGAGAACCGACCACATGGGAAGCTCTTGAAAAACACCAATGTCCAGGTACCACTCCTGACCAATTAATGCAGAATCTTTGGGGGTGAGGGCCAAGCATGAGTAGTTTCAGAACTGTGTACACGAGTCCATTGTGCAGCCAGGGCTGAGGCTCCCTACGCTAAAGGGAGCTTCTTCCACCTGAATGAGCTTATGCATCATCTGAAGATCATGTTAAAGAGCAGATTCTGACTCAGTACTTCTGGGAAAGGGCCCAAGGTTCTGCATTTTTAACCAATTCCCATGGGGATGCAGTGACAGCTGTCCATGGACCACACTGTCCATCACGCATCTCCCTTTAAAGTAGAGAAGGGACTTCTGGAAGCGTTAGCTAAAAGGCTCTTCCAGAAGGAAAGAGGAATTTTCTAACATGGGGATAGGAGCTCCTATACCTAAGAAAACTTACAGGGTCCACCTGTATAATAAAGTGTCTCCTGGAATTAAAATCAAACCCTAGGGGCGCCCGGTTGGCTCGGTCAGTAGAGCACGCGAGTCTTGATCTCTGAGGTTTAAGTTCGAGCCCCACACTGGGTGTAGAGATTACTTAAAAATGAAATATTTAAAATAAAATAAAAATTTAAATAAAGTGTTTAACAGAGGACCCAGCGCATAGTAGGTGCTCAACAAATGGTACTTTTGCTACTCATGTTCTCTCTGTATTATTATTATTAAGACAGGACTCACCCCATTTCCTAATCTAACCAGGCATGTGCTTTGGGCATCCAAAAACTGGATGGAGCCCTACAAAACCCAACAAACCACTTTCGCCCTCAGAAGATGCCCTGTGGGTGGGGGCCAAGCACAGGAACGCCTGGGTCCAGGGGCTTTCATCTCGGACACAACCCCACCGACCCTGCCTTGTCTAAGAATACCAATGCCTTTGGTTTTCCCTCTTTTTTTTTTTTAACTAACTTGCCGTGAGCCGTGGATATACTTCTGTAGTCTGGTCACAGCTCACAGGGAGCGTGTGCTATGCGTCAGGACCAGTTTTAAGTCTTCTAGTCGGTTTAACTCATTATATCCGTAAAACAACTCAGGGAAGCAGATACTATTAGCCTCAAGGGCAGACAAGGACACTCAGACCAAGCGGCCTGCCAAGGTCATATACGGAGTAAGTCACAGGGCCAGAAAACAGACAGGGGATTGTACTTCAAAGCCCAGGTTTCTCCAACGCTTCTCTAACTTCCCTTGCTAAGTGATTTCACGAAAATGCAGGTTCTCGGGTGCCTGCGTGGTTCAGTCGGTGAAGCGTCTGCCTTGGGCTCAGGTCATGGTCCCAGGGTCCTGGTCGGGCCCCCTGCTCCGCGGGGACCTGCTTCTCCCTCTCACTCTCCCTCTGTGCTCTTTCTCTCTCTCAAATAAATAAATAAAATCTTTTTTAAAAAATGCAGGCTCTCCTTCGGCAGGGTGAGCTGGAGCCTGAGACACCGCATCTCTCACGAACCCCCTGGGAATGCTGATGCAGGCGGTCCACGGACCTCACTTTGAGTAGCAGAACGACTCATTCTGTGACGCCTCCCGGTATTTCTGCCACCGTACCCTTCCGACCAGTGGTTCATTGATTCGAGGGGTGACAAAAATCACAAAGAATCTCCCCTTTGGACACTTAGGGAAAGTTCTGTTGAAACTTCTGCTCCAGTTGCAACATTTTGTGGCAAAGGATATCAGCAGCTGCATGGAAAAGCCGTTGAGCCCAGGAGAGGCTGTAGGAGCCTGAGGGTTATGAAATTGCTTTTAAATTTAAGTGTCACTGCTACTGAGAGCAGTCTCTGGACCAGGGAAACCAGGCCCCTCTCGAAAGACAAAGTGAAGAGTCCCCGGTGGAGAAATACAGGGTGGGATTTCTCCAAACAAGCATGGAAGTGAATCACGGAACTGTAAGTTTTCCTTCTCGGATTACCGAGAGAGGATATACACCAAGACCAGAATAAATGATAAAGCTTCCTGCCCAGAAATGTATTTAAGAGTCAATCGGGACTGTCCACTTAGTCAGCCTGGATTCAGTGGCTGGGAGCAAGCAGGCTGGTGAATGAGACAGAGGAAATCAGAGCAGAGTGGGGTCGGGATAAACTCCCAGGGGCGCACTGGACACCAGGGTGACCTGAAGTTCCAAGATCGCAGATGAGGTTCCAGGGAAGCCTGACTTCAAACCGTGAGTCTTCGGGAAAACAAAAATACCCTCCTCAACCTTAATCGTAACACCAAGGCTGGATTAAACAGCCATCGACGAAAATAAGGATTGGTTAGAATGGTACCTTTAGGCCATTTTCCACCACCCGGTGATCCTCAAACTTTGCTCCACAATGGAATCAGCTGGGAAGATTTCAGCACCCACCTCCCCGCCTCATGCTCAGGCCACACTCCCGCATCCACTAAATCACACTCTCTGGGTGCGGGACTCAGGTATCCCTCGTTCTGAAAGCTCCCCCGGGGTGATTCCAACGTGCAGCCAAGTTTGAGAACCACCAGCATAGCTTATAGGGTCTTTACTCATAAAATGAGGAATCCATCTGGACCAATGGTTCTTCACCTTGTCTGAGGGTTAGAATCACCTTGGGAAGGTTTTCACAAGCCGTATGCCAGCAGCATCCCTGGAAATTTGGGTTAATGTGTAGGGCCTAGGCATCAGCATTTTTAAGAGCTCCTAGGTGATCCTGATGTGCAGCTAGATAGATGACTCACGGTCTGGATGTTTTTGCCAAGATTCCTTCCATTGCTTACATCTTAAGCATCTATAATAGTAAGGCTAAAAGTGCATCTTAGACCTCTCGTCTTTACTTTTAAATCAGGGATTTCTAACTCTGGAAGGGTTCACGAATCCCCTTATATCATATTAAAAATGTTGGATGGATACACGTGTTTATGTCAAGGTACATATTTTTGAAAATGAATGTCCTTCCCTTCTATCAGATCCTCAAAAGGTTTCAGCAGATTACCTGAAAGGCAAGTACGTGGTTTCTGATTTAATAAATTGAAGCAAGTTCAAGAATGAATGGAAAAGAAATTTGATCTTGGCAGCATGTTCACTACACTTTTGAATTTGGGCCATACCTCCTGGCACCAAGCGACTGACCGCGCATCCTTCCAGCAGGTAAAGTTCAGACCCCTACAGCCCCATCCTCCAAAAGGCGTTAGGGTGACAGATGTCAAGCTTTCAGATCCAAGTTGCACTTGGAAGGAGACTATCCACTCAGACCCTTTGGGTTCATGTCCCCAACTGGTTTAGGATGTTAGGATTTTTGAGTCCTGACTGTTACAACCTCTGTGTCTGGGTCTGGAGCCTGGCTTTCTTCCTCCCCATGTGTCCTTGGGAAAAATTGCTGAACTTTCCTGTTCCTCTTATGAAATGGGGACAATATAAGTCCTTTTAAGATTGCTGTGAAGGATAAGTAAGGAAATACATGTAAAATGCTCAGCATATCGCTTGGCGCAGAGCAAGACCCAAATAAATGGGAGTTATATTACCATATTGCTGATGTTTTTATGACCATTAACATCTCAGTGATCTTGCCCAAGTCGCTAAATTTCACTGAGCTTCATTTATTGATCCATACGGCAAGAAAAATACACCCTGCTTCGTTTCCTTCGTGGGGTTATCGTGATGACTGCTAGAACATGGCAACTCATCATGTATTTGGGGGAATCTACAGAGCACAGGACAAGGTCACCCTATAATACAGACATAATCCCTACTCTCAGGAAGTACATTCCAACAGTTGGGACTGACTATGGCAATTTCTCATTACGTATCTGGCATCCTGGGCAACCTAAACCATCCCATCCAGTGGGCAAGTGGGGGACCACACTCCACCACGCCCGCCACAAGCCTCCTATCAGGTAAGAGAGTACGCCAACCACTGACTCAATCACGCGTGCCCTGAATCGTCCGCTATCCTCCAGCCAGGACAGCCAATGGCCCTCCCCAGGAGACGGTCCCCAGGCTCGTCCACACGCCCCGGCCTGCCCAGTAGAGTCTTCCCCCAGCACCGTGGAGCACCACCTGCCCCACTGGAGTGAAGCATCACCAACACCTCTCACCAGCGCCCCCACCCCCACCCCAGCAAAGACGCAAGGCAAGGCGATCAGTGCTCTCTTACCTGGAGTCGGCTTGGCCGTGCGCACGGGGGTGTAGTGGTTCTTGGAGGACGATCTGACCGGTGTGTTCTCTTTGGGAGAGGTATTGATAGCCGAGATAGTTTCTCTTTCACAGTGTGCTATGGGGATTGGTCCCTGTTGTCTTAAGATGTCGGCCAGAGCCCTAAACAAGGAGGAGATCACACGGTGAGATTCACTGAGCAGGTGGACACAACCACAGAGGGAGCTGGCTTACTTCCGTGGGCCCTTTGATGGACAGAGCTACGGAGGAGACGCACGCACGGTATTTTGTTCTCAGGCGCCACAGCTACGTTGGGTACTGGTCCCGGGGTGGGGGGTGGGGGAGGACGCAGGGTAGAGGATGCCATGCCTGGGGGTACAGGCCTTAAAGGGCAGTGATTATGGTTTCTGTCTTCAATGTATGTCACCTGAGCCCTTTCAAAATACTGGCTACCCAAACACCCCCCTATGCTTGGCAGATGCGTGCAGAGCCAGCCAGCAGGACACCCCCACAGGACATCTGTAGCCTCGATTCCAGCAGCAGGTTACTCGTAACATGGGCACAATCGCCCCTTTGAGAAACACCCACCGGGTAGCACGTACTGTATACTGGGGACCCAGCTCTCTGCCTGGGTGGCTCAGTCGGTGAAGCGTCTGCCTTCGGCTCAGGTCATGATCCCAGGGTCCTGGGATCGAGCCCCGCATGGGGCTCCCTGCTCAGCGGGGAGTCTGCTTCTGTCCCTCCCCCCACCTTGTGCTCACTCTCTCTCTCTCTCTCTCTCTCAAATAAATAAATAAACCAAAAAAAAAAAAAAAACCAAAAAAACAAAGAATGAATGAAAGGTATGATGTAACTGCAAAGACAGGACATACAGACAACAAGGTAAACACCCGACCACACGGACGGTGCGGACCGTGACCGCAGCTGGAGCTTAGAGGAGGCGACAAAATGCACAAACATGGAGAGGAAAATGCACAAACATGGACAGGAAGAAACAGGGATGCACGGAGATGCTGCTACGGCGGGAGCGCCGCGCCCCCCTGCAAGAGACCCAGCTACCCCAACTCTGAGCTACTTGTCTTCACTCAACACGTCCCTTCAACCACCAAACGTGCATTTACTGAGGACCCAGCGTGCATGCATCACCGCAGAGACAAAGGTAAACAGGACACAGTTCCCACCACCTAAGGGCTCACAGTTTGGGCGAAATCAGTACGTGGTTTCTGAGTTAATAAATTGAAGCAAGGGTTTCAAACAGGACTCGCTCGGTGGGGGATGCTGTGTGACCTGTGAGTGTGTGACCACTGTTCGTGGAAAGGACAGAGACAGGCAGGGATAGTCGGAGGTGGCGAAGGCGAGTGTGGACAAGCTACAAGAGACCCCGCCACCCAGAGAAGGCAGGCCACCGTAGGGCCAGGTCCCCAGTTCTGAGTGCACCCCTGTTTTGTACAAGCTAGGCAGGGACTCTTCCGTCTACTCGGGGCGTCCCTAAGATGTGGGCAAGGTGCCACGCCCCCAGGCCTCCCCGCCCCCCCCACCAGCCTGGCCCACCCCACCCCCGCTTCATTCACACCGGGACTCCGGCGCCCAGCACCCTGCCCCCTCGCAGTCTAAAAGCGTGTCTGAGAGTGAATTGTTGCCTTCCATTACGCTGACTCTGACATGCTGAACCTTCCGAGGAGAAGAGCATCAACCTGGCAATCTTATCATTTACGGGCATTTATATAGCAATTTCAGATGTTCCAAACGCTTTCCCCTGGCTGGCATTCTCATCTCTCCGGCTGAAAAGGGAGGAACAGACACTGGGGTGGACCAAGCAGAGAGGAGAACACAGGAGCTCCCGAGGTTGGCGAAGGAGGTTCAGGCAGACCCGGAGTCCGGATCAGGGACCTGAGATTCAGGGTGTGGGAATGAGAAGCACGCACCGCCCTGAAAGGTTGAGAGATTTGGGTCCTAATCCCAAATGAGCTGTTCGACTTTGGGCAGCTCTGCTAACCTCTAAAATGGAAATCTGATCTTTTCTCCCCCATCAGCAAGACAAAGGGTTTAAACAAACATGACCCTTCCAATTCGATCCCTTCGAATTCCAAAATGTTATAAATATTTTCTGTATTTGTCACCACAAATCCACGCAAGCTATCTTGATTTCCTTCGTTCCTCTGGTTATCAAAGACACTTTCCTACCATGTTCCCATGGTAAGGAAACAGGGAGCTTGAAAGTTATAACAGAAATGTAGGCCAATGGAATAGAACTGAGAGCCCAGAAATAAACTCATACGTCTATGGTCAATTGATTTTCAACAAGGGTTCCAAGATCACTCAACGGGGAAAGAGCAGTTTCAGATGGTGCTGGGACAAGTGGATAGCCACATGCAAAAGAATGAAGTTGGACCCTTCATTCACGCCAGATGCAAAAATTAACTCAAAGTGCATCATGGAGCTAATTATTAGAGCTGAAACTGTAAACTCTTCGAAGAAAGTATAGAAGTACATCTTTGTGACCTCAGGTTTCACAGTGGTTTCATATATATGACACCAAAATCACGAGCAAGCAAAGAAAAAAGTAGAAATCCTGGACTCTGGCAAAATTAAAAACCTGTCTGCATCCCAGGATATCATCCAGAAAATGCAACGCAACCATGAAGAATGGGAGAAAATATTTGTAAATCGTGTGTCTGAGAGGTGACTTATATTCAGAATACATAAAGAACTCTCACAACTCAACAATAAAAGTCAACAAACAACCCAATTTAAAAATGGACGAAGGATAGAAAAGACATTTCTCCAAAGAAGGTGCACATGAAAAGCAGCTCAGCATCATTAGTTATCGTGGAAATGGAAATCAAAACCACAATGAGACATCCGTTCACACCTACTCAAAGAGCTATCACTAAGAAGTCGGATAATACCAAGTGTTGGCAAGCCTGTGGAGAAATGGGAGTCTTCATTCACTACTGCTGGGAAGGTAAAATGGTGCAGGCCTTTTGGTAGAGTTGGGCAGTCCCTCAAAAGGTTAAACATACAGTCACCCTACAGACCAGCAATTCTACTCCTAGGTAGAGACCCAAGAGAAATAAAAACTCATGTCTACACAACACCTGTCTATGAAGGTTCCTAGCAGCATCACCAATAATCACCAGAAGGTGGGAAGAGCCCAGATGTCCATCGACTGATGAGTGGATAAACAAAATGTGGAATACTCACACAATGGTTTTTTCACTCTCCCTTTTTTTTTTTTTTTTTAGATTTTATTTATTTATTTGAGAGAGAGAGAGCGCAAGCACAAATAGGGGTGAGAAGGAGAAGCAGATTCCCCACTGAGCAGGGAACCCAATGCGGGACTCGATCCCAGGACCCCGGGATCATGACCTGAGCCAAAGGCAGATGCTTCACAGACTGAGCCACCCAGGCGCCCCTTATTCAGCCTGAAAAAGCAACGATATACTAATAAATGCCTTGAACACATCATGCTAAGTGAAAGAAGCCAGTCACCAAAGACCACGTGTTATGGGATTCTATTTACAGAAAATGTCCAGATTAGGCAGATCCGTAGAGACGGAAAGTAGATTTCTGTTGACTGGGGACTGGGGGAGGGGAAAGTGGGGAGTGAATGCTAATAGGTATGGGGTTTTTTCTGGGGGAGATGAACATGTTCTCAAAGGATAGCTAGACAACTCGGGGAATGTAGAGAAAGCACCAAATTGTACACTCGAAAACGTAAGGTTGAATTTTATGGCAGGTGCATTACATTTCAATAAAGCTGCTACTACCAAAAAAAAAAAGTATATATTAATTTTCTTTCGGTTTCTTGCCTCTCAAGTTTTTATAGAGACTCCTACCCCTCTGATGACTGTGAAGGGGGATGGGGTCTTGTGGTTAAGTCCACTGCTTTGGGGAGGCCAAGACCGTCTCCATGGGTGCTTCTCCATGGTGATTCTGCACCCCACCCCCAAGGGGGGACAGCAGTTGGCAACGTCCAGAGACATTTTTGGCAGTCATGCCTGGGGAGGGGAGTGCTGTTGGCTTCTGGTGAGCAGAGGCCAAGGGTGCTGCTAAACAGGCCAGCCCCCACAATAAAGAATGATCTGGCCCAAAATGTCAACAGTGGCGAGGTTAAGAAATCCTGAGCTACCTCTGTGTGGCACGAGGGAAAGCCAGTCTTTGATTAAGGCTCAATGCAGTCCAGCTCCACAGATATCTACTGAGCAGCCCATACTGGCATCAGACATGGGGCTGGGCCGGAGATGCCGAAAGGAAGGTCCCCAAGCAGTGGGCCTGTCTGTCGGGGCCCTTCGCTGTATCGTGCCCGGCCACGTTACATAAACATAGGAAGGAGTGAAGGTCAGCCATGGCCCCACCTTTGTAGGGTTTTCAGCTCCTATCCCCCGCTTAGGTCCACACTGACAGTGTCCGTGGCAGTTTCCGAGGAGATTTGCCCTGGGGCTCATCAGCCAAGGAAGATGCGGCGGAGATGAGATTTTCGAACGGAGCTCCCCTCTCGAAGGACGGGGGGGCTCTTGACTCCCAGCCCCTGAGAAGCCCTGCAGGACGCAGGCTCTGAGGACTCAGGGGTGGAGGAAAGATACTTTTCTGAAGACCATCAGGCTCGGTGGAGAGCGGTGTGCTTGGGTCTGGCTTGCAACTGGAGAAGGAGTTTTACCTGGGGTACAGCTAGGCCGTCTCCACGTGAAGAGGGTGACTTGCACTGTATCCTTTCCAGATGCCCGCTTGGCTGGGCTGAGCTGGGCAGCACGGCCAAAGGGGAGGGATGCAACTAGCGAAGGTATTCCCGAAGAGGCAGGCTCTCTAAGGGTAGGTCCCTGCCCTGTGTGGTCCTAATAAAGAGCATGGTATCCAGGGACACGCTCCCGGTCCCCCCACCTTCTGGCAAGGGGAGAGGTGGCCCTAATTTCCAGGCGGTGTCCTTAGGAGCGGTGCCCTCTGGCAGCCCCCCTCACACCCCGTTCCCTCAGCCCCTCAGCTCGTGACCTCCCTTCCTTGTTCCCGTTCCTCTGCTCCTCTCCATCTTCCATCCCCTTCTCCCCAGGGTGCTTGATAAATATTATTCTAATTCTGAAACGTGCCATCCCAGTCTCACCTAATTAATCTGGATGCGCCCCAGGAAATGGGTTAGGGCCTGAGCTATTTTCCAACCACGGGAA